TATAAAGATATGAAATACTTGTACTTTGCTTTTTTTTTAAATTATACATTATTTACTTATTAGGAATATTTAAATTTTAACACTTATGGCAAGAACTTAAATTGACAATTAAGGATTTTTATATAATAACATTTTTTGACAATTATAATTAATAATTATACAGCAGTAATTTAATTGCAATTTAGTAATTTCGTTATGATCCCATTTTTTTGTATAAACTTGGTTACCAAGTTTTTCCCATTTTTGGAAATGTTGTTAACTTCAATGGAGACGTATCTTCATTTTAAAAATTGAAACACAATTATTTTACAATTATTTCGGTTCTTTAAGGGTGACCCCTAACAAACATTGCATATTTTGGAGAAAATTATTTATTAACAAGTAAAAAAGTTGTAAGTTCGGCCGGGCCGAACTTTTAACACCCTCCACAATTTGGTACAAAATTGGCAATTTTCAAAAAAATAAAATCCGTTAAAAATTCTATTAAAACTTAAAAATTCTGAATGCCTATACGACGATGTGGACCTGCATAGACAACTTTTGTCACAAGTTATTGCAATATTCAAATGCGAAACATGAAGAAAAATCTATTTAAAATGTAGCTAAAATCATCAAAATACTGAATATCGGGGTTACCGTTATATGGGGGCTATATGAAGTCGTGGACCTACATGGTCCTTAGACATTTTTTGTCTCAGGATGTAGTATCCATTACGAATTTCAAATACCAAATACCCCCCGAATATCGGGGGATACCGTTACATGGGAGCTATACGAAGACGTGGACCTACATGGACCATTTCCTGTCTTAGGCCGTAGTATCCATTACGAACTTTAAATACCAAGTTTGAAACAATCCCGGTAAATAATGTCGCTAAAATCATCAAAATACCAAATATCGGGGGGTACGGTTATATGGGGGCTATACGAAACCGTGGACCTACATGACCCGTTTTCTGTTTTATGCTGCAGTGTCTATTACAAACTTCAAATACCAAATTTGGAACGATTCCGTTAAATAATGTCGCTAAAATCATCTAAATACCAAATATCGGGAGATACTGTTATATGGGGGCTATACGAAGACGTGGACCTGCACAGAAAATTTTCTTTCTTAGGCTGTAGTATCTATTTCGAACTTTAAATGCTAAATTTGAAACAATTCCGGTGAATAATGTCGCTAAAATCATCAAAATACCGAATATCGGGAGGTACCGTTATATGGGGGCTATCTGATAATGTGGACCTCCATGGCCCATTTACGAACTTAACCTGCCTACTGGAAAAATATACATGCAAAATGTTAGCCTTCTATCTCAATTCGTTCGAAAGATAGCGTGATTACAACAGACAGACAGACATACAGACGGAAATGGTCAAGATCAAGAATATATATACTTTGTTGGGTCTGACATGAGTATTTCGAGGAGTTACAAACGGAATGACAAAATTGATATACCCTCCATAATATGGTGGTGGGTATAAAAACAAGTTAAAATGTATCAGTCGATATTGCCGCCAGATGTGTACCCTCAACCTATGTCAATTTATTAAAATATATATTCAAAATGTTGACCCTTTATGGAGGAAATGCCCAAGTAGTGGACCAATATTATGCGTGAGGTACCACATTTATTAGACCAAAGCATTCCACCAAATTTAATACTCAGACATCTATAACCAATTTTTTTTAGGAATAAACTGGTATTTCGCTCTTTGAGGAAGAAGGCGTAGTCCGATATCTATCACTTTCACACCGAAACTTGCATTAGTTAATATATTGGCATATGTGAAATTTAAGAGAATCTGAAGATTTTTCCATTATATGAGAAATATAATAATTAAAGATTTTGACCATTTGTGGAGTGGTCTGCTCCATTTTCACACCTGGTTTTCTGTGGATAGAATTATTGGGATATGCGAAATTTGAGGATGATGATTAGATTAGATCCATATATATACTTTCCTATGTGGGGAAACAATATTTTGAGGTGTTATATAATTTTTGACCCAATCGAACTTATAATACCCCCAACACATAGTGTTGTAGGGTATAAAAACATATTTATGACATAAGTCCAAATTTTTAGTTTTTCTATGTCTCCATAGTGGTAAACTTTATCAACAACAAAATCAGTTATTTTACAATCTTGCAGTTCTGTAACAGAGCAAATGTTTATTGAACAAAAAATAAACACCTTAAATTTCACTCAAGAAATTACGTAGAGATGTTCTCCTAGAAGCTACGATTCCTGAGATGGACGCCATATAACAGTACCTCCCAATTATCGTTATGTTGACGTTTTCAGAAACAATTTCCAACAAACTAGCTGAAATTGGAAATATCGGAACCTAATTAGGTAGAATTTATCTCGCAAAAAGTCTCTTTGTAGGTTCAGAATTTAATGTAGGTCCCATATTATGACACCTCTTGGTATTTCGAATACGAACAATGCTCTCATATTAAGGTATTTTTCGATTTTAGGAATTTGGAAAGTTCTTCTGTTCTTTTTTTTGTAAAAAAAGTGGCGCCCAATTTTTTCATATAAAAACGTCTCCTGGTTTTCTATATTTTGAAGGCTTCTGCCTCATTTTCCAACGGAATCAACTGCAGTTTAATATTTTAGATTCTAATTAGGTAGCGTTTTATCGCAAAAAAGTTTCAAAAGTACTTACACGACGTTACCTATAGATATTCGGTATTGGAAAGATTTTTGCAAATATTTTCGCAAAAGTTCTCAATTCAGGCCCTAATTGTGGGAGTATGGGTCGTTACAACATTTAGTACAATTTAGTATTTTTATAAGTTAAGACAATTTGTTTTACCTCGATTTAAGGCGATAAAATGTTCGTCCCTGGCGTTAACCATTTTTACTTGTTTTTTTTATACCCTCAATCTTGGAAAGGAGGGTATATTAACTTTGTCATTCCGTTTGTATTAAATATTCGTCATAGACCCCATAAAGTATATATACTCATAATCAGCATAAAATTCTAAGTCGATTTAACGATGTCCGTCTGTCCGTCTGTCTGTCTGTCTGTCCGTCCGTCTGTCTATCTGTCTGTTGAAATCACGATACAGCCCACATTATTTGACGTAGAGCGCCAAAATTTAGCAGAGCAATTTGTATTGTGTCTAGGATGGTTGGTATTGATATATCGGTTCACGTTTTGGTATAGTCCCCACATAACGGTACCTCCCGATATTCGGTATTTTGTTGGTTTTTGCCACATTTTTTCACGGCTTTGTCTGAAAATTGGTATTTGTAGGTCATAACGGGTCCCAGTTCGTGTGGCGAGACATTGCATGTATAGGTCCACACATAACGGTACCTCGATATTCGGTATTTTGATTATTTTTGCCACATTTTTCACGGATTTGTCTAAAAATTGGTATTTGTAGGTCATAATAGGTCCTAGTTCATGTGACGAATCATTGTTATTATAGGTCCACGTTTTGGTATAGTCTTGGTTGGTATTGATATATCGGTTCACGTTTTGGTATAGTCCCCATATAACGGTACCTCCCGATATTCGGTATTTTGTTGATTTTTGCCACATTTTTTTCACGGATTTGTCTGAAAATTTACATTTGTAGGTCATAATAGGTCCTAGTTCATGTGGCGAATCATTGTAATTTTAGGTCCACGTTTTGGTATAGTCCCGGTTGGTATTAATATATCGGTTCACGCTTTGGTATAGTCCCCATATAACGGTACCTCTCGATATTCGGTATTTTGTTGATTTTTGCCACATTTTTTTTTCACGGATTTGTCTGAAAATTGACATTTGTAGGTCATAATGGTTTCTAGCACCTTTGGCGAAACATTGCATGTATAGGTCTAAGATTTGGTAAAGCCCCCATATAACGGTTCGTCCCGATATTCGGCATTTTAATGGTTTTTGCCATATTTCTTCGCGGAGTTGTCTAGAAATTGGTATTTGTTGGTCTTAATGGGTTCTAGCTCTCTTAGTTTTAGTTAGCTGTATGTATAGGTCCACGTTTTTGTATAACCTCATATAGCCGTATTTCCCGATATTCGGAATTTTGATTATTTTTGGCACATTTTTTGCCATGTCTAAAAATTGGTATATATGGGTCATAATGGGCTCTAATGTTTCCTTTACCCTAAGGTAGGGTATAAACATAAACAACACTATGTGTTGGGGGTATTATAAGTTTGATTGTCCCAAAAATTATGTAACACCACGAAATATTGGTTTCCCACATAGGAAAGTATATAAAGATCTTCCTAGCTCGCCGAGCTGAGTCGATCTAGCTATGTATGTCCGTCCGACCGTCTGTCCGTCTGTCCATGTTAATTTGTAATCACTCTACAGGCAATTATGGCCCGATCTTCACGAAATTTAAAATGGAGGTGGGGCTAGGGTCAGAATAGAACCCTATTTCTTTTGGAGATGATCGCATAATATTTAGGTCGAAATGGACCAAAAACTGAAAAAATGTCGGATATTGCAGTAGCTATACAGGTCGCAATTATAGTACAATCGACGCGGAACTTCGCATGTAGCTAGAGTTTAGGGCGGGGAAGAAGCCTACCAATTTGGGTGGTCATCGAATAATATTTAGCGGGTAAAATAGGCCATATCTTTTTTGTTGAAAAAATTCAAAATTTTTCATAAATCCGCGAATATTTTAAATCCCGGCGAAATCACAAAGCCATGACAAGGTTACTTCTGATCTTTACATTCATGTTAACATCCAACAAATCGGATATATAGCAAAATATGTGCGATATATATGTCTATCAAAGAAGATATGCTTGAAAGATCTCTTATATGTCGAGAACGGCTGAACTGATTTCGACAGTTCTCATTAATTCAGAATGGCCTCTTGGCAGGAAAGAAAAAACGTCAAAAAAATCGCATAAAAATATCTCTCTAAAGATGAAAATATTGATTTAGTAAAATTTTCTCATATTTTTTCAATTTTGTCATATTTTTGGCATATTTTCATTTTGAATTAAACATTTGGTAATATTTCTACAGCTAACAAAACTAAGTAGTTAGGATATCACGATATCATATACAGATCGTATTTATGGCCCGATCCTTACGAAATTTTGCATGGGGATAAGATGAGGGTCAGAATAGATGCATACTCTTTTTGGAGATGATCGTTATGTATTTAGGGGTTGAAATGGACCAAAAAAACTGCAAAAATGTCAGCAGGTCGTAATTATCGTCCGATCCTCACGCACATTTGAATGGGGGTTGCAAAAGCCAAGCAGTTTCGGATGGCCATCCAAAAATATTCAATGTGTGAAATAGTTTGCCAACTTTTGTAGACTAAATACGAAAATGTCCATTCCAGCGACTTTTTGGAGAACTCACAAATGCAGGAAAGACGCACTTCTGACTAACGCTGATTTCGTTGAAGAATATAGTCAAATGTCTGTATCTCATATAGATGCGTTTCAGTCAAAAACCATTAATAAATGTTAATCTTTTGCCACTTCTGAGAGATTATAGGTGTTTGGGAAATATTGGTTTCAGATTTAGGAAGACCATTTACGTGCAACATCTTCCAATAAATTGGAAATTAGCAAATTAGTTTAAGTTGCTATTATTCGAAAATTAGAGAACGAAACCTGATGGCTTTCTTCTATGATTTGTCACAATATCTTGTGGAATTCTTTCGAGTATCTCGCCTATATGAACTGTATCGTTTATTATAGTGTTGTAGGGTATTTAACGGTCGGCCCCGCTCGACTGTAGCCTTTGCTTACTTGTTTTTTTTTACAATGTTCGAAGTAATTAAGACTAGTTTTCAGAAAATTTAATTTAACTAGACAAAATTCCCTATTAGGGTGTATGAACAAGACATATTTCGGAAGAAATCACATTCATTCATATTTGCCAGATCGATTTTGGGATCCAAATTTTCTTGCCATGTTTGTAATGCAAATGTCTTTTAGCTTAGAGGAGTATTTTCAATGAATACAATAAATTATATGACCGGGTGTATTGGATGAAATGGAATATACAACTTAATTCCTATAACTATATTTACACAGAACTTACATACCTACATAAACATACATATTTACAAAAAAATTTCGCCTATTATCCGAAATAATTAGAGTACTGTTATGGATTTGTTCCCCCACTTTGCTGCGTGGAGGAGTTTGCGGTATTGAAGATATTTTCCAATGGTTCTGAGGCAATTTGAAACGGCAATATTCGATTCATGGTATTTGACAAAATACTCGAATCGTTGTTATTGGAAGTTGGGTTGTTGTTGTTGTTGCTGCCACTGTTGTTGCCAATCTGTGATGTCGGCTGATGTGCTGTCGTATTGGGAAGTTGAACATCATTTGTTCTTGGAGACGATTGACATGCAGCAAATAATGTGGATCGCTGAGATTGTTGCGGACCCAAGGGTGATGTATTTTGCTGTGATGTGGGTTGAGGGTTGGGCAAGGCAAGCTGATGATGGTCGGCGTGATTGATGTTACTTCTCTCATTGTTGGCGGAATGAGAATGAGACATTAGCTTGTTATCCTCGGCATTTGCATCCGTGATGTCATCACTGATATTCATGTTGAAGTTCATGGGATGACTAGATTCTGCGGCCAGTTGTATGTAGGAGAATATTGAATCTTCGCTGGTTGTAGCGGCAGCATTGTTCGAATCCCCTTTGTATGGTGTCGTTTCCATAATGTGTCCTGAACCAGCACTGTTGAGGGGGTTGGGTGTGCTGGTGATATTGGCGGGAGTGTTTGGATTTGCTGAATTCGGATTTTGTACTGTTGCTGAGATACTATTCAGCGTTGGTTCGGAGGTGCCTATATTTTGTAACGGCGATAGATTTAGAAAAGCATCAAATTCTTCCTGAGCGAATTGCTCCAAGTCCGGAACATTTCGATTTAGAAGCATCTCATCCGGCTCTTCGGAATGTATGGGTTGGTGTGGCGGATGGTTACTTGCTGCATTAGTTGTGTTTGCCATATTCGCCTGTAGCTGTTGGCTTGCCTGATGCTGTTGCTGCTGCTGTTGTTGTTGACACTGGTGTCGCTGAGCTTGATTATGTTGCAGTTGTTGTTGTAAATTCTGCTGATGCTGCAACATGATTTGTTGGTTATTCATTTCGTTGGAATTCATTGCAAATCCGTATTGATTGAATTGCTGTTGTACCGCATTGTTGTTGAAATTAATGTTGCGACTGTTGTTGCCCAGCGTCAGAGCATCGGTTTGGCCATAGTTCACTGGCATCATTGGCTGCAGCAGGGTGTAGCGAGCCAACAGCAATTGCTCGGAAACAATTCGCAGTTCATCCTGCTGCTGAAGAATTAACTTCTGCAGTTCGTCATGTTTACGCTGAAGCTGTTCCTGCAATTGGTTTTGGGACGGGGTCATAACTACTGGGGCAGCTATCATCTCGTGCTGGGGATGATGCTTCAAGAAAATAACAGCATTTTTTAAATTAACCTAAATATAAAGATTGTTGAAAACGGAATCTTACCGGTAGGGGTGATATAACTGGGGCAGCCTGAAATGGAGCTATGACCGGCTGCACCGGTATCGCTGTGAGATATTGCGGCGATTCTATAAACGGTGGAGCCACAATTTGAGGACTTCGTATGGGAAATGTAGGCTGAGAAAATTGACACGTTCCAGTGCCGCCTATAGGGCTTCCCTGTACGATTGCAGGATGCTGCGATATCGACTGGAACATTCTCTGACCCTGTGGCGAAGAATTCATTTGAATTTGTTGTTGCTGATGTAGGCTCTGGGCGTGTTGGGATGACTGTTGTTGCGAATGATTTTGCTGGTGATGTGAAAAGTGTGAGTGATGATGAGGATTTGTGGATGTCAAGTTCTGTTGCTGGTGATGTCCGCTGCTGGAATAATTGCTGTGCCCCAAATTGGAAGTAAACCTTTGCCGACCCTGTAATGTAAAAATGATTTAATTAAGTCCTCAAAATATGAATTTCAGTTACCAAAAAACAAGTTAAAAAGTATCCGTCGATTGACCCTTTTGTGGGATTGGACCAGATTAATTGGGCCGATATATACCATCTTCTTATCTTGTCTTGTATTGATAGGAATTTTGAAATGTGCTTGGTTTAAAAGGAATTGGTTGCTCATTTCTCGTTTTACGAACTTAATGGCTATTCAAAATGTTGACCCGTTGTGGGGGAGCCACCAGAAGGAGTGGGCTGATATCTACCTTCTTCACAACAAATTTTGAAATAGAAATATTAGGATGTGTGAAATTTGAGGAGAATCCGATGCTAATTTCGCATTTTATAAAAGATATAATTATTCATAATTTTTGATCTGTTATGGCGAAGCTACCAGAAGGAGTAGAACGATATATCCCACCTTCACACCAGTTCTTGTGTTGATAAAAATATAGGAATGTTTGAAATTTGAAGACAATCGGATTCTTATTTATCATTTTATATGAGTTATAATTTTTCCAAATTACGACCCTTAGTGGGGGAGGTACTTGATTAAGTGGTGCAATATTGTCCATTTTCGCAACTGACCTAGTGCTGGCAAAAAAATGGGATTTGCAAAGCACAAAATCGAATTATCCTTTCTCTTTCTATGAGGTAAATTATTTTCTTTGAAAATGTTGACCTTTTGGAGGAATTACCAGATCTCCGAATATATATATACGAGGTGAGATAAAAAAAACTACAACAAAGTAATTTTAACATTTTTTTTTAAATTTTATTGAATGAAAGTAAAAAATGTCGGAAATAGCATTAACTTTTAGAATAAGTTTAGATATGTTCGAATTGGTCACCTTTGGCACGAATTTTGGCCTTCAAACGGCCAATAAAACCGTCATACGCTGCCCGAATGTTGCTCTGCGGTATTTTCTTACCATAATGCTTTTGTACGCTTGTAAACAATATAATGAGCTGTCACTGGAATAATTTTTACAGCTGTCGGACGAAATGACAGCAGTCTGAAGTTGGTTGCAGTTTTTTCATCTCACCCTGTATGATATTGTATATATTTTGCTACATATGCGATATCTTAGATATCAGCATCAATATATGGGTCAGAAGTGACTTTTTCGTGCATTGATGATTTCGCTGGAACTAAAAATAGTCGCGGTTTTGAATATATTTAGGAATGTGACCATTTCACAAATTTTTGAGATTCTGACTTCGCAATAATGCTGAGGGGTATAAAAACCCAGCTCTACCGAACTTAACGCCTTTTTTTTACATGTTATACATAATAATTTACCAACTTACCGTACTCATATGCGTCATTAATGATTGACGGCTTGTGCCCGATTCAGCAGACATCGACGTGGAATCCGATTCATTGCCACGGCAATTGTACATATAGCGTTTTCGTTTCACATTCGGCGAAACACCCGTCGAGCTAATATTACCATAACTAGACGCTGGACGAGAATTCGATTTTATGGCCTGCAGTTGACAGCTCTGACCTGCTCCGGTGGGGGTGGGTGGATTTGTCCATAGCGTCGATGAATCTAAACTGGGTGAAGTTTCATTGCGCAGAATATCGCCAATTAGATTTGTGGAGTGACTGTATATGTTGTTGGAACTACTGACAGTTATCATGTTGTTGTTGGGCGTGGTGCAAGCCACCGCTGCCGTCGAGGCTGTTAACGTTGGAACTGTATCCGCATTAATATCAGTTGGTGTTACGGGCAATGTTGTATCTATTGTATTGGTGGGGTTTTTGTTCGCCATTTCACGGGGGGCTAGAGCAGACGATGATGATGATGATGACGGTTTGGCCGAAGAGGCCGGATTATTTCTGTCATAAGTTCCGTATTTTAAAACGTCTATATAATTGATGACCTTGTGAGTGCAGACCACATATTCCGGTTTGGTGGTGTATTGATTGTAGGAAATATACGAATCAGTTTGGAGCCAAATCCATTGATGACCCTTGGTTAAGAAGCGATAGTAACCCGATTTAACTTTGCCTTCTTGCATTACTTGAGAAGATAGATATATTTACAATTAGATCTCATAAGAGACGCATGTTCGGATTCATACTTACATTTCTCATGACAGCTAACAATGTCATCAATATCATCAAAGTGATAGTAGTCATAGCCTGAGGTACCCAAAACTTCGAAAGGCATATATCCAATTATGGGAGGGGCTCTTTGATCGAGAAACAGGAACTTCCATTCCATGCTGTGTTTTGAGGTAAATTCGCTGCAGGTCGGATCTGTTACGGTTATTTCGCGTATCATTTGGGGCATTTGCAGACGGCCAGTACCGACAAAGATCAACTTGTGGTCCAGATCTATCGCGGATGCCGAATTCCGTTGGAGTGCACGAGGCAAAGATGTTTGAGTATTTTGAGCAACCACATCGATTTTTGCATCGTTTCCTGAAAATGCCAACATAATTAGCGATAACACTTTATGTCCTCCGAGTCGACACGACAAAAGTATACTTAACGGAATACATACTAAAATAACCTACAAATTTTACTAGTTCAAACGAGTTCCGATCGCCATCCTCAGTGCCCCTACGTTTCAAGTGCAGGAAAAAGGTTATTTGATTGCGGGCGCCAATGTCAGTTTGCATGGGTGCAATTACGGGCTTGGGATTGAGGAACATATTCAAGAGTATCTCGTGATCCATTTCGTAGGATAAATCAAAAATTGTCATTTTCATGAGATCACACTGCTCACAGTAACATCAACAATTGGAAAGAGAAAGAGAGAGAAATATTATTGTTGCACGTTAATCAACTGAAACAGCAACTCACCGGCAAATAACCTAATTGGGCTGTAACACTATCCGATGTATAAAAAATCGATCCGCTACTCCCAAAAACAATTATAAACCCATCCAGAGATTCCAACATCAGTTGAGTGAACTCATCGTTGCTGAGAAACGAGGGCTTCCACTCCTGCTGTATTTCAAAAACCTTTGACCTATCAGTTGCTTCTATGGAAAAACAAAAGAAATAGGATTCCTCTTTTTTTAACTTATCCAACTTTCAAGCTTACCATTGTGATGCTTGAGAAATGTTATCGTTGACTTCAGTACCGTGGATTTGTCCATCTTTCGATTTGACGTCGAAATCAAAGCGCTCAAATCGTTAACCAGTGAATTAAATTGATCCCGCCGTTTCTTTTCACTTAAGTTTCGCGATCGCCTGAAAAACAATAAAAACATAAAACGATTTTAATTTTTTTTGTTTTTTTATGATTTTAAGTTTTATGATTTATGCAAAAATAGAGATCATATAAAATACCCTTATTACTGGCATTTTTATAGCAACAATAATCTAATTTATATCACTATAAAATTACGCATTCTTTGAGTAAATAAATGATAACGACCGAATTAACTTTCCATGTAGCCATATGTCCCACGTATTTTTTCATCCCTGACACCCATTAAATGCCTTACAAAACAACCAAAAGTGTAATATCAGGTCAAATTTATTTGTTAAGGGTAGGTTTAATAAATGTGTACGGTGGTGTTGGGTATCATATGGTCGTCCCTTCCGATCTTTTGACCTTTTTTTTAACTGTTTTGAATTGGTAATTAGGTTCAGGATTCGGTTTAGACCCCACATAAAGGTACGGCCCGATTTTAAGATATTTTTGGGGTTTTAGTGACATTTTTCAAACGCTTTTGTTTCGAATTGAATAATATCATTTAACACCACTAAAATGTGTCTATTTGAAATAATGGGTTTCGACCCAAGGTCTCTTGGGACGAAATCAGTTTCAGGATATTTGGTGTCAATCTAGAATTGTCCGACCGTCGGTCTGGCTGTTACGCACGATAACCCTCGCAGGGAGTATCCGATTCGGTCCACACTGGGTACATCGCAATATTTGATTGATTTTGGAGAAATGCAATATCGGCTCATTGCTTCCGATACCTCCCCACAAAAGTTCAATAATTTCATAAAAACAGAATGTATCATAGCATAGGCTGTAGTTACCATTACGAACTTCAAATACCAAATTTGAAATAATTCCGGTACATAATGTCGCTAAAATCGTCAAAATACCGCATATCGGGAGGTACCGTTATATTGGGGCTATACGAAGACGTGGACCTATATATTCAATACCAGTCCTGCAGACATAATACACATTTGAGTAAAATTTTATCAACCTGCTACATTTCGTTCGGAAGCTAGAGTGATTTCCACAGACAGACATACGGATAGACGGACAGACATTGCTAAATCGACATAGAATTTTATGCTGGTCAAGAATATATACCTTGTGGGGTCTAAAATGTATATTTCGAGGTGTTACAAACGAAATGACAAACTTAATATACCCTCCATACTATGGTGGAGGGTATAATAATTTAAAATTCGCTATTTAGAGTTTGTAATGGGTTTTTGGTATAGCCCCATAAAAATTATCAGAATGGAAGCCTATTGTTTTTGGAGATGAATGCCAAATATTTAGGGGATGTAGTGTACAAAAATACACAAAAATGTTTTGATTTTGCAGTTGCTCTATAGAGCAAAGCGAAGCGTATGTTTTTGGAAAATATTCTTTCCAGATCTATGACGATTATTCCAAAAGAAAAGCAATTAGGTTTAATATTTGCTTTTATTATAAAGTAAATATGGGGATGCTTCTTAGGGGAATCTTCATTCTAGTCAAAAGGACTTCATATCTGCAGAAACTAGAAGTATTTCGATTGATTGGGATATAATATTGAATTGCTAATGCTAATTATTAATGCTTAGTTCACCTCATGACTGATGGTAGTTCAAACTTAACGCTGTTCTTTACCCACCATACTTTTGCTAAAGTTCTATTTAATACTTTTTGTAGTTTTTGCCAAAAACACTAATAGCAAAGCTAATGAAAAAAAAATCAGATTTCAACTACTATTCGCTCAACCAGCTTAGAATTTAGTACCATTTAGACTCCAAAACTAGCATCCCTTCACCCAAAATCAAATTTAGTACAGTTCTTCAACTTAGTACGTATTTCCAATAGTATTATATTACCTTAACGTATTCCTAAACTTACCTTTTACACCAAATGTCAAGTTTTTTCTAAATCCTAATGATACAAAATTTATTGTTTTTTAGTACTTTTAGTACATTTATAGTTAGAAATTCCAAAATCCCATAATTATCTCTCCCCTTTACACCAAAATTGACCCAAATACCAAATTTCAAGGCTCTTGCGTTAGCCGTTTCGTCTGGGCGCTGAATTAGCCAATCAGTGGTTATGGTCAGAATAGAACCATATTGTGTTTGGAGATGATCGCACGATATTTATGGGTTGATATGGACCAAAAACAGAAAAACTTCCTGATTTTGCAATTATGAACCAATCGACGCGAAAATTTATATGGAGTTACAGTTTAGGAGTGGGCAGAAACCTACCAATTTGGGCCATTCGGACAATAATTAGCGGGTTAAATAGACCTTAACTTTTATATAAGAAAATAGGAAAATTTCCACTAAACCGCGAATATTTTCAACCCCAGCCTAATCACAAATACATTAAAAGATCACTTCTGACCATTACAGTGATGCTAATAGCCAAGAAATCGGATAAATAGCAAAATAGGTACAATATATATGTAAAAGAATTTATCTTTTTTATTCTGCTTATAAATCAAGAACCGCTGGGCCGATTTTCACAAATTCCCATCAATTCGGAATGGTCTTTTGTCAGAAAATCTAAAAAAATCGCGGAAAAATATACCAATAAAAAAGTGAATATTTTTGTTCCATTTTTTTAATTCTTGTCATATTTTTTATCGCATGCGATTTTTTTCAATTCGACTTACAATTTTGAATTGTAAATTTTCTAAATGTTAACACCCTTCAACACTACGTTTTGAGGGTATTATATGCATGTCGCAATTATCGTCCGATCCTCACGAAATTTGGCATGGGGGTAGGGTCAGAATTAAAGCCTATTGTTCTTAAGATGTACATTTAGAGGTGCAAATAGACTAAAAAAAATTAATTTTTTCTAATTTTGTAGTCGCTCTATAGGCCGCAATTGAAACTAATCGACACGGAATTTCGCATCGGAAGAGAGTTAAGGACGGGGAAGAAGTCTAGCATTTTGGGTGACCACTGGATTACATTTAGATGTAAAATGGACCACAACTTTCACAACTTTTGCTAAATTCTCCGGGTCAAAAATCTAAGGGTAACCTCTGGGCGGGGCTCTTTGACGTTGTATCAAAAACGAAATGTTCCAAAATGGATTTGGATATAAGGGGACTTCAAACATATTGTAGTGTTGTAGGGTATCAAGTGGTCGGCCCCGCACGATTATAGCCTTTGCTTACTTGTTTTATTTATTTTTTTTTTTAAGAAAAAATTAAAAAAAATCTTTGGGATTCTCCAGTGTTTAATAATGGATTGTTCGCATTTCCTATACCGAAATGTTGACACATATAAACCATTTGCCAAACATAGAACAACAATTTTGAGATCTTTCTTAATTGTACCGAAAGAGGAGGGTTTAGCAATAGCTTGGCGGATTTTGTGTAGTTTAAAATTAACATTTGCCAGTCGAATCTGCATTAATTTTGTATTTCATAGCTACAACGTAAAAATTGTAAAATTGCATCAAAATAGGGATTTTTGTTACCTTCTTGAGGCGAAAACCGTGTCCGTATGATTTTATTTATTATCTTCTTTCAATCTTAAATTGATGTAAACTTTAGCAATTTAGAATAACTGACAATTTATTTTAAGGTCGATTAGAAAACAACCCCGTGTCGTTTCCATTCAATTACATAATGATAAGAATATTCATAACACAACGGGGGCAAATCATTTGTTTATCAACATTCGTGTGTAAACACATTTCGAGCAGTCTTCAAATATTTTATTTGGACAATACGCGAAAGAAACACAGGTAAATATCACATGTTGATACCACAATGGGGTTAGGACATAATGCGTCTATAACTGTCAAAAACATTAACTCCATATTGTTGTGCATTTTTTGGTGTCAGTTAAAGATATTTTGTCCCGAGATATGGGTAGAATAGTATTCAGTACTTCTACTCGAACATATACCCATATGTACATGTGAGATGCAAAGGTTTGAGCTTGTTTTGACACAATCTGTTTTTCTGTTTATAACATTGTACTTATTTATTACAATTTAAATATTTGAGTGATGGACTGACATGCGAAAATCGACTAAGAAAGTGATTTTATGAAGATCCTCAAAAGTAACTATGGGTCTATCTCGCTTCCTTCTCCATGTAACAAACAAATGCACAAAGACATAATACATTTACCACAATGTGGTGTAGGGTATAGAAACATATGTATGTCAAATAAAAGTTACACAGTTTACTTCAATTCGGAAACTGATTTCATATTTTTGTGAGTTTTGTCATTCAAAATTTAATGCACCATAGGCAAGCTTCCAGATCACTGAATCGGGTACAAGAGACTATAGACTCCAACCCGTTCTAAAACTGGTTTCGTACAAAGAAAATCCGACTTTATGATACCCTACACCACTTTGCTAATTTAGTAGAGCTCCACATAAAAATTAAAAGTTTTTATGGGAGAATACAATCAAACACGCTATGATTATAATTATAATTTAAAGTTCAAAGGTTAAATATGCCGAAGCATTTGTGTGTTTTAAATTCGGACTTGTATTGCCCATTTGGTGTACAATTAATTTGAAATCGGATAAAGATATATATGGGAGCTATATCCGAATCTGAACCGATCTCGATAAAATTTAGCAAAGATATTTCTGAGCTGTATTTGATATATTTCCCTGAATATCGTTGTTACGGAGTGCACACTACGGTTGTGGGTAACAAATATAACAAATCGGGTGAATAATAAATATGGAAGCTATAGCTATATCTGAACCGATCTTCACCAAATTTTACATGCTAGCTTCTAGACTCAATTCGGTCGCATGTGCCAAATTCCATCCCATTTGGGCAAATATTACATTTGGTGCACAATAAAAGGTAAATCGGACGAAGACATATATCGGAGCTATATCAAAATCTGAACCGATCTCGATAACATTTTGCAAATGTATTTCTGAGCTGTATTTGATATATTTCCCCAAATATTGTTGTTACAGAGTGCATATTACGGCTGAGGAGGACAAAAATAACAAATCGGATGAATAATATATATGGGAGCTATAGCTATAT